AAATGTCGGGAGCGCAATTTTACCTATAATTCTTGCTTAATTGCTAACCTCTGAACAACCTTAACCCTAATTTTAATTGCTTCGTTTTAGCATCCTTCCAAATAAGGAAATTTGCAAAATGGGTCGGTAATATTGATCCCAATATGCTACTACATCCTCATATTCATGACCATCAAAATATATATTTTTTGAATGATCTTTATATTGCCAACCAAGCTTATGCAACCCTTTACGTGCTGTTGTATATAAAATGATTGTCTTTTTCTCTATTCCAAAAGCAGGTATAACTTCATCTTTAACAAATTTTACAAATTTAGCAATTCTTAATATAAATTTGTATATACGCAAATATTCAGTAACCTGTAATTTAAAATTTTTATGGAGAAGAAGAGATCTGATCTTTGTATAATGACCACATTTAGATAAACAATCTTACTTTTATTTAGCTACTAGTTTGCCTAAGAGCGAATAAGCTGTACATGCTATAGTCCTTTGCCCAAGCTCTAAAAAAGAAATATACTTGCATTCATTATGTTAAATCTCTAATCCTAAACTATATGAAGATATTGACTCACCGTTCTAAGCTGCAAATTATTGCTTTTATTTTTTAATAATAAATCTAAAGATCCTAATATAAATTTACTATCATTGTCATCACTACTATTATATATGTTGTTAAATATAAAATTATAATTTTCTGTGGAAGACTCGAGAGAATTAGGTGACTCAGATGATTCAGAGACTCAGGGGCTCCGAAGCTTTAACAATTTGAAGTAGAAATATATTAGTAATCTTTTTAAAACCTGAAGCTGCTTTTTTTCAATATGCTTTCTTGTTGCACAATATCGATTCTGTATTATCTCTATATATTGGTCTACATAAACTTGTAGCCTATATATTTGTCTTTATATTTTTAACTAATTGTTCCAGTGTATTTTGTTGTAGCCCTTGTAGTTGATCTATGATTTCTTCACTATTAAAATAATTTTTTTCACTTTCTATCCAAAAAGTGCTAAAATATTCTTCACATTCATCAGGTTCAGTATCTAACAGCTTATCAGGGTCTTTTATTTGCACCTCACTAATAACTTTCTTATACTCAACAGGCTTAAGCTCTAATTGCTTAACTAGTCTAGATTCTAATTCTTCAATTGGTCCAGACTTTAATTCCTTATCAGAATTTTTTGCTTGCTTCTAATATTTTTTAATAGCTTCTAGTGATTGTCTTGTGTATTTATTTTTTTTTAGTATTAAAATACTGTTAAATTAAAAATATCTAAAAATATTAGTTATAATAAATCGTATTTGTTGCTAGTTTAAAATCTCAAATACAATAAGTTATCTAAAAAAAAAAAGATTAAGAAAGTGGTTAAATACTTATGAAGATACCAAAATTAGTAATTTAGACAATTATTTGATTTTTAAAGGATTGTCTAAATTAGGAAATATCTAATGATTTATTAACATAACAATGTTCGAATATTTCCTAATTTGATTAATTCTTCTAACCTTAATTTTTTTATTTACACTAGGCTAATGCATAGCATTATATGTCCAGAGCCCATCATATGATATTTATCATATTACACAAATGCGTTAATATACATATGTTAGTAATATTAAAGCACAAATATAGACATATGTGTTGATAAACAAAAAATTTCCAAATTCTATTTCTAATAAGATTTACATTATACATATACAAATATATCAAAAAAGTAAATTTTGTCAAGATTTTTTCAATTGAAGCGCATCAAGAAGGTAATTTTTGTATCATTTTGTATAAAAACTTAGGGTCCATTGCTACGCTCTGTCCAAAAAGAATAAAGAAGATCTATATATATTTGTTTTAAATACTTATTACACTTTTTATACCGAACTAATATAATATTTAAAGATTTATAGTTTTTATACTAAAGCTCATTGTGGTAAGACCCGTAATCTCTATATTAGTTCTATAATTGCAGTATATTTAAAAATTTTACCTTTTAAGTTTCTCTAGATGTAGATTATTTAGGATTATTTTGCATAGTAATTGTTAGCGCTTTTTCGAGAATAGAGACAGGTTTAATTTTTATTTTTTATTTGTGAAATGTTATATTCTTAAAAGTACTTTAAACTATATAAATACAAGTAAGTAATTAACCTATAAGAAGTTATTCTATAGAATATACATCACTTCAATACTAATTAGATTTTTAAAGGCTGATTTTATATATATGCAATTAGGCCTTATTTAGGCATATTTTTTTTTTAAAAAATAGTTTTTGACTAACTCTATATGTAATAGATCTGATTTTGTAATAACTCTTAAAAAAATTATTTTAATTTTATGAAAAATTAACAAAAATTATTGCAATAATGGCTCTATTATAGTGTAAAGATAGTTTAGAATTATAGTTAAAAAAAAAATATAGTACAGCTCTGTCCGTTAGATAAAAATTGTATCTAAATTAGTGTGAATTTATATATAAATTCATATATGAAATCAATCTTTAAAAAATTTAATCATAATGATATTCTGACTATTGTATATTCTTAAGCAGCATGCTCAATGAGATTAGCTAGTGATTTTAATAGTATTTAGCTATTATACATAACAATATTTAGATTATTCTCAAACTTCTTCCTCAATGTGTTTACTAAATGATCTGATTGGCAATAAAATTAATTGTGTTTATGGGTGTTCTCAAGCATTCACTCAGGTATAATTTCATAGTGAATGAAATAGTACACAAGCATTATAATATAATTTTATCAATTCTCAATATATAAGATAAAAGTCAATAATGTGAATAATGATGTTGTTGAAATATACTTAAGTATTATTATTTCTTTGATTTGCTTATAATTATAGTAATGCTCAATTGCTACAATAGATCAAAATAAAGATCTCAATCAATGCTTAAGTAAATTCTTGATAGTCTATAAAATAAAACAACACTACTTTAGTATATTGATAATGAATATCATAATAAAAAATATAAAATGCTTGAATAGCAACTTAATTTACTTAAAAGTATTTTGATATTCATCATTATCATTATAATAGATTTTTATTATAGTTTCTATAGGAAGCTTTGCTTCTCTTCC